GATATAAGTCATAGCAGAGGACTTACATAGTCTTCCAGGCAAGATAAGGAGGTCCGGAGGGTGTGACAGAACTTAGTTGGTGTTGTGCATGGTTTTTTGTCGAGAGGTGTGTTATACTGACTGAAAACACACAAAATGTTGTAAAACAATCAGTTTTGTAAACTAAAGCAAGCTATTATGGCAAAAGAAATCACTTAGGGATCAGTTTTCAACCGGTCAACGAGTTCCTTCAACTTGTTCATGTTAAGTGGTGCAAAAAGATTATAGCCTGGAGCTCACTTTTTGCTTGGAATGATCACTTTGGCCGTGCTGTTTGCCGTATAAGGAGATTTGTTATGAGGAAGCAAATTTCCTTGTACGACCATTCACACGTATACCTGCCAAAGCACTTTCCCTCTTTTCCTGATATCTAGCATCCTTCTCCAGTAAATCTGAAATAGTGGGTACTTGTTTCTCCAATAGAACAAGGCTCGATTCTGGAGGTATATCCTCGGCCAAGCAAGGAATTATACTCATCTCTTTCGAGGAACTAGTATCTGCAGACAAATCTTTTGCTTTACCCCCAGCAAACTCTTTCTTCCCGCGTTCGCCCCATTAACACTTTCACTCTGCAATATTAACCAAAACAAAACAAGCACACTATAAACAAAGATCTATTTCAAACAATAATAACCAAAGATCCATTTCAAACATGAAAGAAAATCCATATATAAAATCCATAAATAGAACCAAAACAACACTATAAACAAAGCACACATGTTCTGACATACAAAAAATAAAGCAAATCCAACTTTCAGTTCTTATTCTTAAGACTTTGTCTAGTCAATTTCTTGTTGCGAGAGGATGTTTTACTAACCCCGGGTTCGTGCGTTTTAGGTTGAGAGCTAGTGTTTTGAGATTATGCCCCTTTCCCTTTTTTGGTGATACCAACGATCTTCTCCATAGCTTCCACCCTTTCAGAGAGATACTTGATCTCCTTAAGGCACGTCTGGAACCCTTCACTCATGACATCGAGTACATCCTTCAAAGAATCCTTCAAAATTCTTTCAATATAGTCTTTGGTCAGCCCACCAACAGTGGTAGTCACCTCTGGACGAGCCTCTGTAGGAGCCTCTTCTTGTGCCTTTGTAGGTGCCTCTTCACTAGCCTCTTTACGAGCTTTCTTAAGAGGTCTTGGACTATCTTTGTCTTCCTTCACTAGAACTAGCGCTTTCTTCGCTGGACTCAAAACTGTCGGCTTTGTATTGAACCAAGTGCTAGTGAGTTCCTAGCAATCCATGAGTTTAATTATGTTCTCCGTGGCCGGGTCCTCAAAATCAGAGTCCCATTGTGGAAACATTTCGCCAATGTCTTTTTCAACAAAGTTGATCACCCTAGTCTGCAGTAAATAAAAGATATGAACTTAGATATTTGACGGATTAAAAAAGATGAAAAGAAAAGACTTCGCAGAAAACTTATGATTAAGTCGTTTGGAAAGTCTTCCAGCTGGACGACCTAGCAGACAACTTAATAATAAGTCGTTTGGGAAGTCCTCCAGCTAGACGACTTAGCAGACAACTTATTATTATGTCGTCTGGATAGTCTTCCTGGATGTCTTAATTATAAGTCTTTTACTAAGTCATCCAGCTGGAAGACTTTCCAGACGACTTAATTATAAGTCCTCTAATAAGTCGTCCAGTTGGAAGACTTTCCAGACGACTTAATCATAAGTTTTCAAAAAGTCTTTTGGATTGAAGTAAATACATGTCTGCAAATAGCTTCTTTAAAGCATATGCGTCCTCTGCCACCCTTGTAAGCCAGTATCGGTGGAGTTGGTCTGTTTGGTATCGGATTACCATAATTAGCTCCCAATTCCGGGTACACCCTGACCTGGAGACTTTGTATAAACCCATCAACAGTGTAAGAACCCGAAATATATTTGCCCTTCACAAAGTCCATCAGCACCTTAAACGCGACTCTTCCCCATGGTAATTCTCAAACTGTTCTAATTCCATCACTAGCCTTGCCAGACTAACCCGTGAAGGGGTTGAATACTTTCTCCCTTTAATGTATCCAGTGAAGATGGCAAGGTACCCAAGCCGCTTGCAATCATCTCGAGACCACCCTTCGCATATCTCAAATGCTGCTATTATATGTTCAGTAGTTGGCCCAGCTTCCACATGAACTCCCAATAACTCTAGAGAGAAGCCAAATCCTTTGTAACAACACAGTTTGGTCTCTCAAGGTCCTCGATGTACTCGCAGTTTAAACTAGTGAGGTTTCCAAACTCTAACAGTGAAAACCTCAAAGGTTGTGGACCAACGAGACTCCATAGCTTTTACTTCTTCTTTATGTCGAGCTGGAAACCGAGCATGTAGTGAACCAGCCTTGAAGCCCAAGCAAATCCCAGCTCTTGGAACTTGATGAAAACTTCCAACTTAGACTCCTTCAGCTCTTCATATTCGTCATCATGAAGAGCATTCCTTAAAGTAGTATGCAACTTCAAATACGTATTATACGAAATGCTATTCAATGCGGGGGGATTTTTCCCTACTATATGTATACTACGGGGGAGTTCTGGAATATCCATTTTTTCAGAAAAAAAAAATCAAAGACAACCATCTCAAACTCACAACCATTCAGTACAACATTTTAATTATAAGTTTGGAAGACTTTTCAGACGACTTATAATTAAGTCGTCTGGCAAGTGTTCCAAGACTTCCAGTAGAACATTGTAAAGTCGACCTGGAAATCCGGAGAAGATATAGTCGCCTTCGACACATCGGTTATAGATCTGCAAAAATAGACGTCATAAAGGAAGCGCGATTAGAACGATGGTGAGAACGAGTATAGATACAACCTGAGTATAGAGACAACGTTTTATGTTCATCTTTTCTTCAATCAATCACTCGACAGTAAGAGATATAACTTACCAGCGGCGGAGTTCAACAAAACGCCCCTAAGATAAACAACGCTAAGGTTTACAGAGAAACAACGCTAGGGTTTCCTTTCAGATCTGAAATAGAGGAAGTGGCGGTGAGAACGGTGGTGATAACAACGGTGATAACGGCGGAGAGATAACCGGCGGTGAGAACAATGGATTAGAAAGATTCGACGGAAATCACCTTTGAGAGAAACAACGTTAGGATTGTCTGAATTTCGCGCAAAAGTGAGTAAAAAACATCTTATATATGTCCGGTAAAAAATCCGGTTAGGTTTAAAAATAAATTGGTAAAATAAGTCGTCTGCCGCAAATATATTTACCAGACGAATTAATAGTAAGTCGTCCAGACCCTAGACTCTAAACCATAAACTAAATTGATTAAACTAACTAACTAACCACATTATAAAATCAAATTATACTTAAATAGTATTTACTATACACATAAATAAACACACTTAGATAAATTTTAAAATTTTCAAAAATCATTTATGCTTTCGAAAATCTAACCCTAAGAAACACATACAAGGCAAAACCTAAACCAAACAATATCATGACTCATTACTTTCACTCATATATGTTGAAAACAATTAATTTTTTTTTATATCTTAATTTATATCTCTTTAAACATATGTTAATTATATGATTTCAATTAATTACTTATCAAAATATTTTTTACAAAAAAATTAAATTATTTTTAAGAATAATTATACTAGACGACTTTCAAGTATAATTACTTGAAAGTCGTCAGGACCGAATAGTTGTGGGGGTTAGAAACGTAAACAAAATTTGAGTTTTTGTTTATTTACAATGGGCTGATTGTAATTTCAATAGTTTTTAGATTATTTTTGCATTTGATTCAAATTTGAGTTTACTTTTGCATTTGAAATCAAATTGTAAGTTATATTTGGCAAATTTCCTAATTTTTTTTATAATTAGGTTTAAATATAAGAACCAGATCTAGGACTTTGGGTTTGAAACCAATTTTTTTATAATTATTTGGCAAATAATTAGGTTTAATTAGGTTCTAAAATGGATTAAATACGTAGGGTTTATTGGACTTCGAAATTGGGCCGAGCATGTCCCTCCACAAACTATACCTCCGCCATTGATTGTATTTTTTATTATGGATTAGTATATATTCTTCTATAGATCTAGGATACTTCTAGATTAATAAAAAAAAAAAGAATTTGCTTAGCCGGTTAACAATCATGTTATAAAGAACCTTTCTATATGATTCTACCTAATGCTTGGAAATTGTTGTAGATCCATAATGATATATGTAATTGGTCGTTAGATATGGAAAACTGCAATTTTAAAACGTTAACTAGATCTCAACCCGCGCAACCGCGCGGGTATTTATTTTCTTTTATTTTTATATAAACCTTTTGTTTTTACTTCTAAATTGGTATATATTATATAAGGTGTATATATTAAAAATGATATATTATATAAGGTGTGTGTATCGAAAATGATGATTAATTATTATATAATATCGATTAATTATTGTTAGAAAATGATATTTTTGTCATTTTTAAAAATAAACTATATAATTTTTAAAATGAACATCGAAAATATATAACTAATTAACTTATACTATTACAATATTAAATTATATAAATTTAGTTTAAACATGTATTTTATTATACTATCTATAAATTCAATGGATTATCTAATTTTTATTAGCCCAATAAAAATTTATAGTAAACCCAATAAATGTTATTAGTGAATCTAATGAATGTTATTAATGATTAAATATATAATGTGATCAACTCTAGTAGATAGTCCATTTTATAAAAAATCACACATGAATGAGAAGTCATGATTTCTCTTTTAATATAATAGATGTTTGTGCTGGGTACTGACAAGTATGGACAGTAGATTCATACTAGTAATAGATGTGCTAACAATTCAGATGAAAAATCTACGTGTTAAAAGCAGCTACATTAGTGCTAGCTGCTAAAGACTTTTTATGGGCTTTGCTGGGTAATGGATATAGAAGCCTAGTTTGAAATGGGTTTAAGGAAGTCGGAATTTAAGAATCTGACGATTTTTTTTTTTTGGTCAAAGAATCTGACGATTTTAATAAGAAGAAAGAATACGAATTAAATCTGGAAAACCTAATTCACTTCCTCTTATATTCATCTTCATCTTCATCTCTTTGATTGGACATGGGTTTCACCAAAGATGAGTTGCTTGCTCGACTTCAGGTTTTTCATCGTTAACCCAGTTTCTTAATTTCAGTTTCTCGTTTGCTTTACTAGAAATCAGTGGGAGGAATTTATAGATGCGCAAGGTCTTCCTTTTATGCTTGTTTAGGTTTTAAGTTTGCTTCAATCGATTGAAAAGTTTAATAATGGTGTGGATCTTTCAGGAACTGGAGATCGATTATTCCAAGTATGAGCATCCTCCTGTTCTAACTGTGGATGAACAGGTTGTTCAAACTACAAAAGAAACACTCACACATTGTAGATTTATTAAACATTATTATATCCATGGGTTTATAATCATCTTTTTATTTGAAAATCTTTCAGGCTAAGTATGTAAGCAGTAGCGAGGGGGCACTAAGTAAGAATCTCTTCTTCAAGGTAAGTAATCTTCATTATTATTATTATTATTACCTCTAGAATAAACTCATTGTAAATTGGCTCCTATGTTTCGTTTTTGCAGGACAAGAAACATCGGTATTACATCATCTCAGCCATGGTAGATACCAAAGTCGACATTAAAGGTAACCCATTTTTTTTTTTTTCATTCTTTCTTGTTTGTGAGCGTTTTCATGTTGAAAGATGTTACTTTGTTGATGTTAATGGGTGTTTCATGTGACTTCTAATCCCAACAGTTTTATCTCAAAGACTCGGTCTGGGTAAAGGAGGTATAAGAATGGCTCCTGAAGAAGCACTTTCTGAGCTTTTGCAGGTATTCTCCTTTGTCTCTTCCACTCCTAGCTACTGTGTCCTTGCTTAGTGATTGTTTTCTTGCCAAATGACATTAATAGTTTCTCTGAATCATTTTTGATGCTTTGGTTTTCTTAAAGGTGTCTCTTGGATGTGTTACTCCGTTTGCAGTTGTAAATGAATCATCAAGGTATTCTTTCTTGACATTGGTTCGTAGATGTGCCTCTCTTGCTTCCGTTGACTGACATTCTTTTTGGAAACTTTCTTTTGTTATAGAGATGTGTCGCTCTTGTTAGACCACAAATTCAAGAACCAGACACGCTGCATCTTCCACCCTTTGTCTAACGACGTCTCAATCTGTAAGCTGTTCTTTTATAGTTTGGTTTTTAGTTACCAAGAGATTTTAACTTTAAGACACTGATTCGTTCTGTCGTTACATTCCCAGCTCTTACCACATCGGGTCTAGACAAGTTTCTTCAGTCGATTGGGAGAGAACCCGTATACGTTGATCTTGAGGCAAATGTTCTAAACCAGACCTCATCTTCTCTTTCTTCAGGTTTTGACCTTTTATACTATGGTTTTGATTGTTACAGGCTAACCCAGTGGTTGGTAAAGACCAGCCTCCAGATCTAGCTGTTTATGTTCCATCTAATTCAGTTGAGCTTCCTAACAAAACACCTTCGGCACAAGCTCCTCCTCCCAAGAATGTGTCAGCAGAGAAGACTAAGCCTGTGGCTTCAGGTATGGCTGATACTACAAGGTTTTGCTTCAATTGTCATTCATAAACTCAGTTTTTTCTCCATCGGTGCAGCCAAACCGAGCAAGCCAGCTGGTAATGTGAAAAGTGTAGTGGAAAATTCACCTCTAACAGTATTCAAGAACCCTGAGAAATTCGTGGAGGAGATTTTGGACAAGACATCCACTCTTTTATTGTCTGAGGTAATAACACAAATCTCAAAATAAAAATCCGGTTCTGTAATAGCTTGAGACAAATTCTTAAACCTGTTATTACATAACAGGCGAAGGGAGAGAATGTGGAGGCTTTAGTAGAAACACTGAGAAAACGTCTTGCCTCAGAGTTTACCCACCTCGCAGTAAGTACTGAGTAAAATTAGATAGATATACATGGTTAATATAGCTTGAGAGTAAACCGTTTGTACTAATGTTGGTTTTGTGTGGGTAAATTGCAGGTTATGTACAAGAACACGGCCTACAGTGAAGGCTTGTACGCCGGTACACAGTGCCAACCAAAGCGACCGTAAGAGGAGTTTCGGTTTGTATGCTGAACCATTACCCATTTTTCAACTTTTTTTCGTTGCACTACATTTACAGACAAGACTGAGAAATGATTTTATTTATGTATGCTCGAAGCATTGTTGTTTCCTAGTACAATGTTTTTTTCCTTAGTGTTTCTTCAATGGAAAATTACCAGGTTAACCAAAAGAAAACAATAATATAGCATATAACCATTAAAAAGAAGAGCGAGCTAACTAGGAAACAATAATCATTGACTGCTACAAAGTTTTAAAATTGCTAAGTCAACTTGTTTCATGTTCTTGGGTAGTTGGAAGTCGTTTATCTAGTTTCGTCGCTAGCTAATCTTTTGTTGCTTTTTGCTGTCCTGGTGTGGGTTCTAGTTGTCGTCTCTATGTGGCTCTTGTGTCTAGAAATTGTTGTTGCAGTAAGTTGTCCCGATGTAGGTTTTAGTCGCTGCCTTATGTGAGCTCTTGTGTTTGGAATTATTTTTTATTTCCCAGTTGTATTAAAACATGTATTCTCTTTGGAATGAATTTCATTAGACGAAAAAAACTAGGAAATATAAACAGTGATTAATCAGCAAATTTGGTACTATATGAAGTTAACTAGAGAGGATCCGAGGTTAACTGTAGAGGAAAACTGGATAATTACGATAGGGACTTGCTCGCTTGTTTTAGAACACGTGTCTTTTTCGTCAACTTTCATTAATCAAAGAGAATACAGTAGCAGAAATATCATATAGCAGCAATTTCACACGAACTTTCAACCTTGTTGTAATTGTCTATATTAGAAGTTTAACAACCTATTTCCCTCCAATTTGAAAGTTCGAAACCCAAACCCACATGAACTTACAAGTAGCCGATTAAATCGGTTTACTAGTTTTTGAGTTTAAGTCTAATTAATAGAAAATCTTATTAAACCTAAGACAATCCGTTTATGACCCGATTTGTGATACTAAACCATAATTTAACTAACCTGACCTACAAACCGGTTTTAATTAAGGATAAAAACCCAATTCTCTTTTTCTCTCTAAGCGTCGTGAACCCTAAGTGACAAAAGACTAGATCTTTGAAGCAATTTCGTTGATTCTTAATTAGGCATGTTTTCTGCTTTTAATACATGTATTGAGGTTTTCATGATCTTTTGTCACTTAGGGTTTACGATGCTTGAGGAAAATGAGAATTGGGGTTTTCTATCCTTAATTAAAATCGGTTAGTAGGTCGGGTTAATTAAATTATGGTTTAGTATCACATATCAGATCATACATGAGTCGTCTTAGGTTTAGTTAGCTTTTTCTATTTGTTAGACTTAAACTCAAAAACTAGTAAACCAATTTTAATCGGACTCAAAAACTAGTAAACCAATTTTAATCGGCTAATTGTAAGTTCATGTGGGTTCGGGTTTCGAACTTTCTAATTGAGGGGAAATAGGTTGTTAAATTTCTAATTTGGGCAATTACGACGATGTTAAAAGTTCGTGTGGAACTGCTGCTATTAGAGTTGGTTGTCGAGAGGTAAAGAAATCTCATAAGTAAGAAAATGGTAAAGTTCTAGCAAAAATTTCTTGTTCCATAGACTAACATGTACAATACCTTCTAAGGGTTGATAAAGGGATATGATGGTCCATCTGAACCAAAGGTTTGATACGAAAACTGAAAGAGATGTTGTTGCTACAAAAGAGGGGGTCCTCGAATCGTGCACACAAGAGGAGCAACCTTACCATTGAATCAATGTCCTAATCTGAAAGAGATGTTGTTGCTGCAAAAGAGGGGATCCTCGAATCGTGCACACAAGAGGAGCAACCTTACCATTGAATCAAAGTCCTAATCTGAAGAAGGAAACTCCATATCTGTAGCTTGGGTAACCATTTGAGGAGAGGGACTGTAGGAGAAGCCTAGGAACCAAAGAAAAACAAACAAAATGGATGCATTTGGAGGTTTTGGTGGTTCATATGGATTAATGAGAGTGAGGTTTTATATGGTACTAGAGGCAATTTACACAGTGGTGAATTAGGAGGAGATATAAACTACGACAGAAGAGGAGTGCATTACCATAAAGTCATGGTTTATTGTAATCACCTTTAGATCTATCAGTAAGCGTCTTTCAAAGAATTCACATTCAAATTTATGCATAGTTGTTCTTGTATGTGTTGAATTCAGATATAAACAGTAGAGGAATAGACGAGTTGTATCAAAGAAAGGAGGACTGAGAGATGAATTTGAATCAAAGGAGATCCATCAAAGAGAGGAGGGTCTATGAGTACTTCTTTTTGGGTGAACGTCTACATTCTTAACACTTGAATTCTAAAAAATTATTGATCTTTTATAAACTCTTTGTATATTTGAGACAGAAGAGGAGCGCATTACCATAAAATCATGGTTTATTGTAAAAAATTCTCTCAAATAACAGTTTTAAGTTTTTTTTTGGTCTGCAACATAAACAGACTCTAAGTAAATTTCGCAAACCAAACTGGTAACTTTTCATCCATATGAACAACGAAAGACAGCTGCTTCCACTTTTTGTCACAAAAAAAAACATTTAAAGATGTAAATGACCAAAAAATGTTTCATTAAAGAAGCAAAAGGCTTTTGTGTATCTTGCTTTATAAACATATATAATTAATAAATGAAAAATTAAATATAAATTATTTTTTTGTAGATTCGTCTTTTTATCATTTTTTCGAAATTGTTTTCAACTTTTAACTTTAAAAAAAAAAATATTTATTTTTTTCTGAATTCTAAAATGCTTTTTAAACTATTTTCAAATTTTTATTTTAAAAATTTAAAAATTTATTTTTGAAGATTTTAAACCCTAAACCCCAAAAACTCCACTCCTTAACTTTAAACAAAAAGGTCTATGATTAGTTCATCCTAGTGGTATAAGAATATATTTGTACTTCAGTAATATCTCTTTGGTCATTTTCTATCTTGAAAGTTATTTTCATGAAAAAAAAATAAAAGAGGTTAACCTAAAAAAAATCTCTTGTTTATATGTCAAGTTTACATAAACAATTGTGTATTTAAATGGGCCTAGAAAACTATTGAAATGTAGGATTGAAAAGAAAATATGAGTTAACTGTTTGTTTTGTCTGCACATGCAGGCTTAACCATTTTCCAATTACTTCTTTTAGTAAATGCATCAATAACTAAAATAGTACAAAGATAAATTATTATATATGTTTTCATTAGAAAATTCTTATATACTATAACTTTTTCTGAAAATATATTTATTATTAGTAAATAAATCTTAAAAATAATTCAATATTATTTTTCAAATATATAAAATTGAGAATTTTTTGTTAATATTTATTTATGTGTTTTCTGTTTTTGAATTGTTGATTTTTTTTACTAAAAGATATTTTTGGATAACAACACAATATATAATAATTATCTTTTTAAAATAAAATATATATGTTAGATTTTGAATATCTTTTTAAAATAATATTAAATTCATTTTTAATTTTCAGCTAATTTATATATTTTATTTATTAAAAATATAATTGATATTAAACATTCTAACTTTTAACGTGAAAGTTCCATTAAGAAAAATCACTTCAAAAATTATAATATAGATTATTTAGATTGGTAACTATATTTAACCTAACTGAATCGGGTCAGGTTTTGGTTATCAGTCAACCAAACTTTTTATAGAAGATTCCAAAACAACTAATTAATACTTAGACTGGTTTGGTTTGATTATATATGAATTTTTCTTCGAATCTAATAACCAGAATTTATGATTTCTCAAATTTGGTTAAAATCAATTAAATGTAGGTTGTTTCTCCTAAATAATCATTCTATAAGCGGTATAATTCATATAATTAGGGGTATAATCCATGCGTAAACGCGGGGCGGGGACGTTCTTGTTGCTTTATATACATATTAGGTAATAATCCGCGCTTTATGCGGAATGAGATTATTAATTTCATTATTTTTGAGGAAAAGAAGATGTTATGTCTATTTAATCGTACGTTACACGGAATCGCCAATGGAGATGCGTTTCTTATTTCAGAAGCGGAATCCGAACCAGAAACGCTCAGAATCACATGAAATATATTAACTTATTCACGAAATACTTTAATTAAATTTATATCAATTAAATTAGGGGTTCTTGCCAAAATACTCATAATTCTTGGCCAAACTAACTCATTTTCATCTCTCCATATTTTGCAACTTTCATCTTATTTCATCTCAAATATATTAACTTATTCAAGAAAATATCATTATGTGTGTTTAAAAATTGAAATGTCTCATACATCTTCAATGTTTTCATCTATTTTAAAAAACTTTATCACAAACGCCATGAACAACCAAAAACAAAGCTTCAAATGTTTGTTATATTTTTTTTTCACGTTCTCTTATTTCTTGCATAAGAAGCTCATGTATTTTTCATTTCCAGGAATTTAGTAAAACAAACCCTTAACTATAGACCTATCCATATTTAAACCCTCAAATATTTTTCTAATGTTATATAGGTGCTCACGTAATGTGCAAATGTATGTAGGGTTGGATAAAGTATCTGTAAATTTTGATTTTATTCATCACCCTTTTCGATTCGAACAAAAAATCTGGATATTCATAACTCCACAAAGAAAAGAAAATACTAATATGCAATATCCGTAAAAAGACGAAGCAAATCAGAAATACTAATATTTTTTTTAATGGATATTTGATCTGATCTGTTATATGCTTATATATACATATATTTAATGACATATGTATTAGTTATATAAATAATATATACTATATAAGTTTTACAATATTTGTATTTACTAAATTTATTAAATTAGGCATTAGTACTCAAAAAAGTAAATAGTTTTTGTTGTAATAAAATTTTATTATTTTAAATTTTTATTTATTTTACAGAACAAACCGATTACAAAATAATTTTCTGGGACACTATATATCTGGATGACTACAAATTGAATCGAATTGGATAATTGATTATTCAGACAAAACATATTGGATCACAAATACCTCCAAAACCTTGGATATCCGATTCATGCCCACTATTACATGTATGTGTATGTAAAAAATATATAAAGGTGGTTGATAAATATATGAAGATGCCGTAATTAACATTAAAATAAATATTTTTTCAAAATAAAACATGAAATATAATATTCTATTAAAATAAAATAAGCCTAGGCAATAGTGAATTTTATTGTAAATTTTCTTTCTACATAGAG